TGAAGAAATTTGGTAAACAGCTTAGCAACACGTCCAATTGCCGCTTGAGGAAAGTTCAAGTAGTAGAAGCATAGTTAACCCATGAATCACATCCAGTTTGGGTGGAAAAGTTCGAGAAGCGCTCAAAATTTTCCTTAAATACTTGCCCGTTCTAGTAGAGCCAAAAATAGTCCAAATGGCATAGAACCAGGAAAGACAAAGGTGTACTAACCTTAAGGAGAGCCGAATCCAAAGCAGCACCGAGTCTTTGTCTCCAAGATGCGTGGTGATCATCACCGGAAGACGTTGAAATAAGCAATTCAGTGTCCTCCTCACCTTCAGTATGCTCGTGGCGTCGAGAGCAGCGACAGCAACTCGACGCCTCAATGGCGACGAAGACTACAAGAAGGACGCCAAACACGCCTCCACAAATAAGCCACGGAAGGGGAACTCCTGCGGTGAAAAATAAGTGTCGTAAAGCCTCTTGAGTGGCAGTAATAAATCAGGATTCCAAAGCTCTATTCCTTGATGCAGCATTTGTAGTAATATTATTGAGGACAAACAAAAAACGGCGAAGAATCTCAACTTACCAAACACGAGAATGGGTGTGTCCGGCTGTGGAAAGTCAGGTTGTAGGCAGACGGACGGACAATCGGAGCAATCACAGGCCTCCTGACCCGGATTTGGTCCCAATGGCGGAAGGCTCACGTTACACGCGTAAGTTGGTGCGTCCATTGCTTGAGAGGAGGACTGATTCACCAAGATGAAGTCAATATCAAAGGGCGCGTGTCCGCCATTGTCCACAGACTTGCCGAGAGCTTCCAGTAACTCCGGCAGGGTGCACTGAGCATTTTCGCAAATGAACGATATCGCAGATGAACCAGAGTATTGGACATTCTATAAGAAATGCGAAAGATTAAAGAAGATACACATTCTCTAAGTAGGAGTGATTCGATTGCATACTTGAGCCATTGATCATGCTACTTGTCTCTCTTCCCTCCTATCTGCGTCGTGCAGCCGATTCTAGAAGCAAACAGCTCAATATCTCCAGAAATAACCCAACCTCCACAATCGTTATTCTACTCTAAAAGGAACAGCTATGCTTTTCAATAGCTAAAAGCTATCTACAAAGGTAGTTGAATCTCCGAACT